GTTGTTAAGTGAATCTGGCTTCCCCACTGACTTTGTTTGTCAGAAGGTCACAAAAGGAGATCACATGACCTTGGGACATGGCAACGGTCATAAGTATGAACCAGTTGCCAAGGAAAGGTCGTAACTGTGAAAACAGCCACAGGTCACATTTTTTCAGTGCTGTTGTAACTTTGAATAATCACTAAGTGAACTGTTGTGAGTTGTACCTGTACCTGTTATACCTGTACTTCTTTAATTCTAATCACCCCCTTCTGAAATCTGTTTTCTTTCTATAGAGAAATCTGCTAGACTCACTAGCATCTACACCTGCATGTATTGTGTGAACCTGTGCAAAGCTGGCTGAGGAGCTCTGGGAGTTGAGTTGTCAAGGTTGGGAACCCCTGGTGTAGACTGTCCCTATCCTATCATAAAGGCCTGAGCAGTGCCAAACTAGTATTCAATACATGTAGCCCTTGACTTATGACAATTGAGCCCCAAATTTCTGTTGTTAAGCGAGACCTTTGTTCGGTGAATTTTGCACCATTTTACGATCTTTCTTGCCACCGTTGATAAGCAAATCATTGCACTTAAGTTCAGTCACATGGTTGTTAAAGTGACTCTGGCCTCTCTGTTGACTTTGCTGGTCAGAAAGTTGCCAAAAGGAAACCACGTGACCCCGGGACATGGTGACCTTCATAAATACAAATCAGTGGCCAAGCATCCAAATGTAAGCCACATGACCACGGGGAAGCTATTCACAGTCGACGGTGTCCTGAGTCACTTGTTTCCGGGCCATTGTAACTTCAAACCAAGGGTCTTCAAACTTGGCAAGTTTTAAGACTTGTGGACGTCAACTCCCAGAATTCCTGAGCTAACATGACTGGAGGAGGAATTCTGGGAGCTGACGTCCAGAAGTCTTAAAACTATCAAGTTTGAAGACCCCTGCTTCAAATGGTCACTAAATGAACTGTTATAAGTAGAGGACTACCTGTATTTCGATCCTTCGTTAGGAATGACCAATACATCATCTGGTAATATAGCTGGGTGTTCTTGAATTTATTGCTATGGCAGAAGAATCAAAGAAAAGCCATTCTTTGCTGCAAGTGACCTGTGCCAGCTGCATCCATTTCCAATCATGCCAGGGGCTTCCATCAGAGTCAGCAATATCATTGAGCAAGGCTCCGAAGGCAGCCAGGAGCCATGGATATTATCAGTCCTCTAATCTAGCCACTGTGCAGTATTCCCCAGTCCCTGTTCGCCTATCCCTACCAAGCAGGTGCGATCTTTAGCTGCCATGCTGAGAGTTTAATTGCTGAAACCCGGGGACCAGCTGCTCTTACGCATCTCCCAATTTGTTTCCAGCAAGCCGGCCTATCATCATCTATGCTATAGAGGGTGATATTAATGGGAGTTGAGGGGTGGCTATGCAATGATACTCCTGGGACAAAGAATTTCATTCCCCCCAACATATATTTGAATCTCTCTCCTTTGTTCTTCTGCAACATTTGGGATCATCTAGAAAGCCTGACTGTTATTCTTACAGACAGGCAGGAAGGGAAGAAAATACACCTTTCCTTTTAGGAAGGTATGGGCTGAAATCACTGTACCCTGCCTATTCTAGCCTTGGTTGTACTTATTTGATGTGAACGCTCCTTTAAGAGCCACAGATAATATTTCAATCTCAATAGCTTCACAACGATAATATAACAACATCAACATTCCTTAAAAGAGGTTGATAATCCAACAGATCTCAAGGATATCCAGTTGACAATTTTTGGTCTGTATCTGGAGATGTAGTACTATGCTTGCTTGAAATAGGATTTTTTTTTTAAAAAAATACTGTTTGGGATTTTATATAGAAAAATACCCTGTATGGAGCTAAAGAAGAAGATACATACTGCAAAATATAGGAGCAAGAAAATACGATGCAAGATTAATAACACTTTGATGATGAAGCTTGCAGAAAATTTAGTTATGTAAGAAAAATTTGATAGACACATAAATTAAATTGAAAGCATTTCTTTTATCAAACAAAAGGAGAGCAAATGTCAATATATAGAACTTGTAGGAAAGCATAATCTGAAATGTAGGAAGATGTTGGTGTTAATAATAATTAAGTAGTAAAGTTTTTTTAATTAAAAATGTATACAATGACTCAATAGCCTTCAGATGGAAGGTAGAGCAAGTCAATTGAAGCTACCATTTTTGACATATCTGCAATCCATCCACACATATGCCACCTACACTTCATTTGGCAAAGCCTGTCAGATTTGGCAGGTTCACTTCAAATGGAGTTTGCTCCAACCATCCATTGCTATTGCTCCCTGAAGGTAGATACCAGCAGCATCATATGCAAAATTTGGACCATAAATGCGGCTCCATAATTCCTACCAGAAACCTGGTAGAACAGGTGTGACTACAACGACCCAGGAAAGAAATAGACAAGTAATAACTAGTAAAAGTTATTGCTGAAGGAAAATAATTTTGAGTGCTGGTCAGGGTAGACATTCTCTAGGACTCTAGGGAAAATGAGCATTGCCAAATTCACAGTCCTAAACCAGAACTAAGAATGGATCATTTACAGTTAAAACATCATGCAATAACTCATTTGACTTTGCACAAAGGAAATTGCCACTTATAGATGCTATAGAAGTAGAGACTTAAACCTTTTGTAGTTGTAACCTATTCTCTTCTGAAAAACCTGGGACATAACATAAGAATGTAGACTACCAAGTTTGTTCAAGGGAAAGATGAACTATGTCTTGCACCAAGTGGGAGATGCTACCTAAGTGAGTTGTGAGATTGAGGATAATAATCTTTTCAGCAGTGGAGGTGGAATGAGCAACAGACACCACTATAGGCTTTATCCAGTCTAACCAAATGTGCCGCCTCCTTGCACTTGCACCATCAATGCTAGTTCTTCACTCCTATTCCAATCATTTGGAATGGGCACAATTGGTACCATCTTAGCCAAGGGGTATTCTAGTATATGCTCTACTTCCAGATCTGATTTTACAGGTCAAGGACTGGCAAGAAACTAGCTATTTCCTACAGTTCCTGAGCAAAATACTAAGTCAGGGACAATGTAGAAAATTAAATGGGAAGAGGCCCCAATTGCCAGAGTCACCTGAAACACACAGGGTTCATTGATGTAGGAAAGAGCTTGCCAGCGGTGATAGTTGTAGGGAGGTTTTTGAGCAAAAAGCCTTGGCAAAGTAAAACCTTAGCGAACTGTAGCGCACAGGAAATAATCAGCACACAGGAAATAATCAGGAAATGCCATATCTCTAATCATCTAAGCCCTAGCCAAAACTGTTCTTAAATTTAAAAAGTAATCTAGCCATACTTACTCCCACTAGGGCCAGTTATACATAGAGGACATAACACTAGGAAAGCCTATTTCAGCTAAATTATTTTATAGGCAATGTTATAAGATTAGGAACTCCAGGTCTTTGGCAGGAAAGACATCTAGAAAGCTCTAAAACTTTCCTGACCTCTAATGATTGTCTGGATTTTCATAGCCCAGATCTGGTAGCCCTCAATAAGGTGACCTAGTTGACCAAACTGACTCTGAGCATGACCTTTCTCTTTTTGGCAAGCTACGCAGAGTTACATTTTTGTCGTGCATAATCAAAGGTATAAATATTCCTGTCATTGAAGAATATTGCCATTTGAAAATTTACAATCTTAAGATTTCATCACTGGCCCTTTTTGCATGCTCTTGACACCATCAGTAGCTTCCTTGATTTTTAGTTCTATGTTACTTATAAGAATCTATCTGTTGATACTTGCAGCCCTTGGAAAGCTCTGAATTGGGATAGTGACATTTAATTTAAGCTAATTGCTAGGCATTAGGCACCCTAATAAAGAGGCAATGTAGGAAACGAAGAGCATGTGGCTAATTAAAGGGGTTGTATCTTCAGCTCCCCTGACACATTTCTTCCACAGTATGCCAACCTGTGGCACAAATTTAGCAAAAGAGCAGCTTATTTGTCTGCTCAAGTAAAAATAGTCTGAAGGCAGCGTAAAGACTAACAAACTTTCAATGGCATAAATTTACATCGTCAAGTTTTTTATGGGAACCCCAAGTGGCAAATACAGACAAACTAACCAAACTGCTTTATATGATAACCAAGTCACTTCATGACAATGACACCCAATGCATTTCTCCCCCTGCTTTCTAGCACTGACAGAAGAACATCAATTCCTACTTAGAAATATTCACAAAATTCACTCTCCTGGCATCTCCTGCAATCTGTTCTGGCCACTAAAAAGCCATTTTGATGCCTTTACATCATCATTCAGTCTGGTCATATATGAGACAAGTCAATCTTATTGGGAATTAATTTTGAGTGGTTGATTGATTTCAACAGAAAAGAGAGGAGGAGGAGATGTTTTTCTGGAAAATTGGCAATCTGGAGAGAAGAAACTATTTTAGAAGGAAGACAATGACAGTCAACTGGCATAATGCAACAAGATTAATTGTTTGCATACTTTTCAATCTCCCCCAATTCTACAATGTCTCTATCAAAAGAAACAAAAATGAGAGACTGGCAGCTGAATTTCTAAAAAATGTCCTCTATCCATTAATACAACACCTATAAACTTAAAGATTAGGGGGCCGCCTCAGTGATGTATTTTTCATAAGTGATTTTCTTCTCTTTCTTAACTGCTATAATAATCTTAGCTATAGCTTCTCAATCGGGTAATGAGGAAAACTTGAAGAAATAGAAATTGGATAAAATAGCTTCCTAGTTTCCTTTTGGTCTCTACAATTATGTTCACATTGCTAAACCACAATTTTTTAAAAATCTGTATTTTGTTGGCCAAGCCACAATTGGCTGGATTCACACATCACATAAGCTATAAACTATAATTACAGCTGATATACCACAATGGTTATAACCATGACTTATAAAGTTATAAACCCAATTTTATTATAGCATAATAGTATATGTGATCCTGGTCCATAAGCTGATACAAATTCAGATGAATATCTCCCACACCAAAACACACCTTACCTGTTACAGAAATTCTCATAGTTGCCTCCAAAGGTCTATTGTTATCCAGGGCCCTGCTCAAACGTAGTTCTCCAGTACTGTGGTTCAAGAGAACAAGTTTCAATTCATTGCCTTGCTCAAAACTGTATGTAAGACTATCAGAAACATCAGGATCATAGGCTGGGATCTTGCCAATCACTCCAGTGGGGAAACTGCTGGATTTGTTGGTGATGTAGTTATTGAATATGATCTCAAAGTTTTTCAAGACTGGAACGTTGTCATTCTTATCCAGTAAACGAACATGGACAGTAGCCCGGCTTACCAGAGGAGCTGAAGTAGCTTGGACTACTATGACATACTCAGACTTGGTCTCATAATCCAAATCCATCAGTGCTGTCAGCTCTCCTGAGAAGATATCAAGTTGGAAGACCTCTGGAATATTACCTTCCACTATCTGATACATAATTTGAGCATTGGTACCCTCATCTGGATCACTGGCAGTGATTCGGGACACCACTAAGCCTATTGGACTATTTTCTTCCACAAAGATGTCAAACTCATCATGCTCAAAGACAGGAGGGTTGTCATTGACATCAAGAATAGTGATATGGACATCAATTGGAGTCCTCATGGCCGGTACTCCCTTATCAACTGCATATGCTCTAAGCTCATAGAGTGGAACATTTTCCCTGTCCAGTCTACGCAACGTCCTAACAATACCAGAGGTGGTTTCAATTATGAAGTCCCCGTCACCATCATCTCCTCCCTGAAAGGTATAGAACACTCTCCCATTCATTCCAGAGTCTCTGTCTGTAGCAGAAACCTGCAGGACACTTGTGAAACCAGGTACATCTTCATAGACAGATCCTTGGTAATTATCCCTTAAAAACTGAGGTGCATTGTCATTGACATCATTAACCAATATTTCTAGATAGGTGGTATCTGATTTCTGTGGGATGCCATTGTCACGAGCTGTAATTGCCAAAGTATAAGATACTTGGTCTTCATAATCCAATTCCATCTGAGTTGTCACAGCACCAGTATCTATATCAATTTTGAACTGAGGAATACTGTCTTCCATGAAGTAAGTAATACGAGCATTCTCCCCTGTATCTTCATCCGTAGCACTGATAATAACTACAGTAGTACCCACTGGACTGTCCTCATTGATGTTAACAGTGTAGTGGGAGCTCTGGAACACTGGCCGATGTGTATTAGCATCAGTTACATTAACAAAGACCTGAGCTGTGTCAAACCGAGTACCATCAGACGCTGTGATTGTAAGAAGGTACTGCCGCTCTAATTTATAATCCAAGGGTAGGGCCAGAGTGATGAGACCACCACCACTCTGGCTGGTGATGGAGAAGCGATTGCGAGTATTCCCATTTGTGATCTGGTAGGTGATGACGCTGTTGACATCCCGATCAATGGCCGAGACAATAAGAACACTGGTGCCCACTGCTGCATCTTCATTGAGGCGCATGGTATATTCTCTTTGCGTGAATTCAGGATTGTTATCATTGACATCCAGAACGGTAATACTAACACTTGCTGAAGAAGTCATTGGAGGGCTACCATGATCTCTGGCCTCAACCCCAAATTTATAGAAGTCCACAGCTTCACGGTCCAAACCAGAAGCCACTACAATCCATCCTGTGTTGTTATTGATCATAAAAGGGAAATCGGGACTCATGTCAACCAGAGCATATTCAAGTCGGGCATTCTCCCCAGAATCTGCGTCAATGGCTTGGATGTGAATAACAGAATAGCCCACAGGTACATTTTCCAACACTGTGGACTGGAAAGGGGTGCTAACAAAAATAGGGGCATTGTCATTCACATCCAGTACTTGGATGGTCACCAGCCCACTAATGTTGGAAAGGGGAGGCCTTCCTCCATCTTGAGCCCTAATGCGAAGAGTGTATTCCTTATTCATCTCATAATCAAGCTGGCTGACTACGTCAATATTACCTATTTGGGCATCTATGTAAAATTGTCCCCGAGTGTTACCACTCATGATGCTATAATGCACCATAGCATTGCTGCCTTTGTCCCTGTCTGTGGCATTTACCTGCAGGATGTGGGTGTTCGAGGCCACATTCTCAGGTACCTGTACAACATAACGTTTCTCACTGAACTGCGGTGAGTTGTCATTGTCATCTTCCACTGTAATATGAATTGTGGCCGTGCTGCTACGTGCTCCTGGGTCTCGGCCCTGGTCATTGGCCTCCACAATCAGCTGATAGGACTCCACAGCTTCTCTGTCCACAAGGCCATTGGTGCGGATGACTCCAGACTTGGGGTCAATCTCAAAGATCCTGTTGGCCCCATTTCCATTCAAGATGCGGTACAGGATGTTGGCATTGGGGCTGGCATCGCCATCGGTTGCTCTCACTGTCAACACTTCATAGCCAACCTCAAGGTTCTCCCTCATGCTCTCCTTATACTCCTGCTGCTCAAACACAGGATCATGATCGTTGGTGTCACTGACAGTGATTGTGAGTGTGGCGAGAGCTGTGCGACGCGGTATGCCGTGGTCTGTCGCTGTCACCCGGAACACGTGGGTGCTTTTGGTTTCTCGATCCAGCTCTTCAGCTGTGGTTACGGCTCCTGTCTGGGGATCAATGGCAAAGAAGCTGTTGGAGCGGCTGTCGAAGAGGGCATCCATGGAGTAGTCCAAGCGGCCCGCATCCCCCTCATCGGGGTCCATGGCCCTCAGCAAGATCACAGGTGTGCCTGCTGGTCTGTTCTCCGGCACGGATACTTGGTAGGTGGGCATCTGGAACTGGGGGCCGGTGTTCACATCCCGCTTCCTTCTGTTGCTCCCCTCCCCTTGGCAGCCGCACCTCTCCGAGGGCCACAGCTTCTCCAGCTCCTGCTGGGAAGAGCCCACAGCCAGGAGCCAGCGGCCCAAGGTCTTCTCCTCATCATCGCAGACTTGGCAAGAGAGCCCCAACCGTAATGGGCGTCCAGGCCGGAGGCACAGGGCTCGTGAGGAGGGAAGGATCAGTTCTCCCTGGGGATGCAACAACGGCCCACGCGTGTCTCTAACGTCGCCTTCGCCGCCTTGCACCGTGCACCTTGGCTGGCAGCCGCCCCGCCAGCTAGCGGGCGGCAAAGGAATGTGGGTGCCCGGTTTCAAGCACAGAGTCCGGCTTCGCCCTCTGCGGAATCGGCCGCCCGGAACCGGGGCCAAGAGAAGGTGGCTTAACAGCAACAGCTCTCCATCCTCGCCTGCCGCCGCCGCCGCCGCCGCAACACCATCGCACCGCGGCCCCAGCAGGTGCGCCCAGAGGCCGCGGGCCGGACGCGAAACCCGGCAAAGCCACAGCGGCTGCAGCTCGGCGCAAGCGGCCGGTTCGCTCGAGGGTGACAGCGGCCGCTCAGGCAGCCGAGGGTCCCTGAAGGGGGCGCAGAGAGGGGGCGGTTCGGGGCCGTCGGCGCGGCAACGGGGGATCCCCAGCGCCAGCAGTAGCAGCACAGCCCGGCCGGGGGCGCCGCCACCGCCGCCGCCCATCTCCCACCGCCCGCAGTCCGGTTTTCGTTTTGTCCGTCCAGCGATCAGCAACTGCGCTTCATGCCAAATGGGAGATCCGGGCCGACGGGTGCCCCCCCACCACCGCCGCCGCCGCCGGGTTCTCCCGATGAGCCCGAGCAGGTCCGCCGCCGCCGCCGCCGCCTGCTCTCCCGCCGCAGCCAGCTAAGGTCTCGCCGCCTGCCAAGCAAGCCCGGCTCGCCTCCGCTGCGGCAGCAGCTCTGCGAGGCTCATTTCCATAGACCTGCGGCTCTTAAAGGAGCCGCGTCAGGCTAGCTGCTGAAGAAGAAGAAAAAAAAAAAGGCTGGTGCGCGGTGGGGCCTCCCTTCTGCACGGCCAGGTTGTCCTCTTGTGGGCAGCAGCAACCTCAGGGCAAGAGGACTTGCTCAACCGCCTCGCACCCTCTGCTCGAATGGCTTAGGATCCGTCCCCCGCCAAAACGCAGCGCGTGCACGGAGGATTCCGGTGTTTCCCTCAGCACCTTCGACCAATCAAGGACTGGAGAATCGCGGCGGGGAGGCCTCCCGACGCGGCGCATTTGCAAGTTCCTCACTCGAGACCAAGGTTGAAAGGCAGCCTTGAGGGCTCGGCCCTGGAATCCCAAAGCAGTCAGAACCAGTCTGCCTGTGAATATGCTTTTCCTTCACCTGTTGGAGAATTAAAACAAGAGCACTTCCAGGCAGGCAGGCAGGCAGGTACCTCTTGAGTGCCGTAAACCCAAAGAGGTTTGCCCAAAAATGATCTCTGAAAGGATGCCAGAGGGAAGGAAAAACATGGTGGGGGTGAGAAATGGAGGACAACTGGCCCTCCCCAATGTTCTACCTTGTGAAGAAGGGGTAATTTCACCAGAAAAGCCACCTATAAAACACAAGGGAAGAGGACGCCATTCCCGAAGATGGTGTTTACATGTTGACCATTTCTAAAACCCATAATATTTGATCATTTTGTTTATTGTCATAATTAATCATTAGTGATCAGTTGTTATTAGCAAATATTGTCTTCTCAGGAGGAGATGGGCTCATTTTGGTCAGCAAGGTTTTTGTCCTTTATCTGTACAAGGTATGTACAGATATGCATAAAGATCAGCAGACGAAAAAAGGGTTCATGTTTGGATCAGCAGAAAACATCCCCAGAGTCCTGCTGAGATAGGATGCTCCTGGTTGTCCAAGAAGAACATCTTCACAAAAGGGTCCTGTGTTGTGGGTCTCTTGTGGGCTGTAACAAGAAAGACTTGTGACTGTAGTAATGGGGAAAACTTGGCAGAAGGCCCCAGAAAAAAAGTGCTCAGGTAGGTTCACACAAGACAAGGCAGGAAGAATTCAACTGGATCAATTCCAAAGCTCTGGCCCAACATTGGGACCCTACTTGAATGGTCCTTCAAGTACCAATGGAAGGATCACCATGATATGAGAATTAATTTATCTTTTTTAAATTGTTGAGCAAAGGCAGCTGGAGTTAACATGGGGAATGTTCATATTCCATTAAGCCACAGATTCTTAGAACCATGAAGAAGCCACAATGAACAGATTCATATACAATGCAAAAGTATGAATAACTTTTATAAACATGCAAATTAAGCCATAATTTGTTCAATGAGTCCTCACTGGTTTTTAATACACACAAACACACATACACACATATATTTCCTGCTCTCAAATTCTTGAATTAAGTGTATCAGAAAAATTCAAACATTTGAAAATACTGAAAGTGCTGTTTTTAAAAATGATGGTCTGATTCTTCATTATATTTTGTTAAACTTAAAGCTTCTAAGCTCATAGCATCTTTCATTAGCAAATCCAATAGTTTACATTATGTAAGTTACTTTGTTTTGTCTTTCTTCTCCTATTGTCAGCTTACTTGAATGGTTTACTATTCTGAAAGAGAAAAAAATCTGCATTCACATCATGATATAATACAATACATCACTATCAATGTCCCCATTTACCTTGAGCTGTATTTGCCAGACTTAAATCAATGAAAGTCCCTTAATCATTTTGTTTTCTACATTTTTCTCATCCCAAAACAATATTTTTGGAGTACAGTAATAAAACTGCACATTATAGGAGGAGGGACATGTTAGTTGGTGACAGAAATCAGGAAGAGCTTAATAGCCTCTCATTGAAACTTATACCATTTAATACAATTCGCTAGTTGGAAAAGGTGCTATCATACTCTTCTACATAGTATGTCAAATATTACATTAAATCAATTACATATAATTACATACTGATTTTGCTTTTCTATCATACACTATTAAAAATGTAAAACATGACATGTTTTCGAAGGGCCACACACTGAGGACCACACCTGAGGCTTTCTGGGGCTGTTCATGGCCTTGGGTCTCAAACTATATACCTTTGCATTTGATCGATCATGTGCCTGGCCTGATCCAAATCAGTATCTGATCATCCTAAAATCTAAGATTTCTCTTTCTAATTTGGAAGGCTATTGATTAGGTCAACTCTCAATCTGTTCTTGGAATCATTGTTCCAGGAAAGGTCTCATTCAATCCACTGCTATGTCACAGGTTGGCCTCAACTAAAGAAGCTTGTGCTCAAAAATCTGTTTGAGTGAGAAATACAGATAAGCAGAAATATTAAAACTATGCTGGACAGCAGCCTTGCCTAGTATCCACATGGTTCCTCATTTCTCCAGTCTCCAACAGCTGATCCAACCCCAGCGGTTGATTGTCTGGATCCAAAGTCAGAGCTAAGAGCTAGATTCTGTATTTTCCTTCTATCTCATTCATCTCTTTTTCCTTTTCACACCAACTTTTGCAGCACATCTTGCTTGTGTACATTTTTGTATCCATAAGAAACCACAAGGGCTGCTCTTAGAATAATCTTTCTTAAAAGGGCAATGCCTCTAGCTTTCCTACAGCAACACTCATTGCAGGTGCGTGTATCTATGAAAACTTTCAGCTAGTGAGCTGGACAAATGCCATAATACCAGTATTATATTTGTCATTTACATAGTTGCAATGTGTAATCAATGTTCCTATTACTCACAACTGTAAAATATTTTTTAAATTTACATCTCAATAACCTCTTTAGATAGATAGATGATAGACATCAAAAGAGAGAGAGAATTTTTAGAAAACTAATGCTGAAAGCAAATTCTCTCTACAGTATATAATATGAAGACATACAGTAGTTAAATCCTCCATATGTCAGACACTGTATCTTTAAAAGTTGCAGCAAATATTTTTCTCTTCTCTTGCTTTTAAACATGTTCATTTATGTATTTGTGCAATGGTTATTTGCCATATTAGTTATCTTCCATTTTTTACGCAATTGTATAAAATAAGTAACTATACCAAAATCACTCAGGGGGCTTCCTCCATATATGAAGCTGGACTTGAACCTGGTTTTCCTGGGTCCTAATCCAAGGCTTTAACTATTACATGCCATTGGTTTAGGATTATGATGGGGGGCGGGGAGGAGGAGGAGGAGGAGGAGGAGGAGGAAGTTGAAAAACCCATCTATTCATATGATACTTAAGAAAAACATTCAAAACAAAAAGTATCAGATAATATATAAAGGTTTAGCGTTCTCCAGTCTGATGTTTTCCAGCTATTGACATAAGGTCTCCCCAAATAGATATGCCTGTGCAATCATCTTCACAACAAAATGTAAGTGGTTTACCACTGTCTTCTTATGTAATGATTCTTTTTTACTTCTCAGTCTAGCCTATAGTCATGGAGTTCCCATCCAACTGCTAACCAAGCTACATCCTACTTAGTTTTTCCAAGCTTGGCAGTTTAGCCATGAGGTACCGCATTCTGTGATTGCACCTCAATTCTGATAAATTCCATCCAGCACTGTCAAAGACCATATTAAAAAACAAAAAGAAACATTTCATCAGGTATTGCAGCCATATGTTCTAAACCTGTGAAGCTTGAGTGAAAATGCCAACCGATTTTCTTTATCAGCAGAAAAAACTTTTAAAATTGCCTTTCTGAACAATAAATTAATAAGATTCTAATGTTTGATTTTGATCTTATACTATATTTCAATAAAAAGACTGAGATCACTTAGGAGTCAGTCCTAATAATTTTAGGAACAACAAGGAATAAAATGCATTATTACATATTTAGTTTTTAATATTTTAAGGAAATAAATAATAATAATGAGGCCACAGCCGCAATATGCACATCATTTGCCACTTGTTTGGGCATTGTACAAGCATACTCCACAGGTGTTTCTTCACAACAGTAATAATATGTTGAAAATGTTAATTCCTTGGCATTTTTCCATGACAGCAAAGGAGAGAGAGTA